ACTTTTACCTCTCCAAAGATTCTTGAGTGACTATGGATAGAGCCAGTTTTGCAGTGAAGGGTTAACAAGTGTCATCTAACAAAATGGCGGAAGAGAAGTCAAAATAGGGTGTTGTACAATCCTAAGTTTTTCGCTGTTGTGTGCAGAATTAGTTCGATTTCCTTTCGCTGTTTCACGCAAAAAACATGATAAGTTCGATTTCCCTTCGTGGAAGACTTTTACCATGTATCTCCATCTTTCTGATAAAACATTGTATCATTCTCAGCACCGTTCAGCCCTGAAAAGCAGGGTCGAAGCACAATACAGTGGAGTCCACTTATAACGAGTCCTGAAACAACGAGAAGTCTGTTATAAAGACACTTTTCTAAAACCCCGTTTTTCCCCTTCTTTATCTTTGTAAATAAAATACTGCTATTGCGCAATCAGACCGTCACGCGAGTCGGTTATAACGCACAGACCAATTAAACATATTATAAAACCTTGCAAGTTGAGAAAGTTGTTGGGGATCCAGCGAAACAAAGAATAGGAGAGCCCATGCGAACCAACAAAGAAGGCCGGAGCGAATGAGTGGGAAGGGAGTGGCAGAACGCATCGCGTGATAGGCCAGCTCAGTCTAGATTATCTAGGCATACCATGCCTCTCACTTCTCTGGTGCGGGATGGAGAGGTCACAATGCTGCGATAGATGGATGGAGTGAAAGTGTGACGTACGCAAGCAGACGCAACGCACCACAGGGTGTGGTGGGGTGGGGGACAACACAGCGGGCGAGTAAGCCTTATGCCAGAGCCCCTTCTTTCGGATCGGCAAGGCCGATTTGTCAACATTGCTAGTGCTAGAGAAAGAAACCTGATTCCATTTTTTATCAAGTAAGACCTAGAGATCATGTTGAACAAATCATCATCAGGGGAAATACAAAAAGGAATAAACAGAACGCCAAACTCATAGATTATTAGGCCTACTTTACTATTTCCCTTGAATTTATTACTGGATCCCTTGTAACGAGAATCCTGGTATAACGGACATTTCGCTCCGGTCCCTTCCCTCTCGTTATAACAGGATTCCACTGTAATAATTTAAGTTGTCCAAGGAGTTCAAATATCTATAATTACATACTGTAAATTATATTGCGTTTTTTTTACAACTTTCACGTTGGTATGATTTTTGTGCAAAAACTGGGGAAACGGTCCAAAATCTGACCAATGCTTCTTGGACAACTTACAGTCACGGATACAATCCTGTACATGTATCTCTCTCACCTACCATCTGTCTGTCTGTCTGTCTGTCAGTCGGTCAGTCGGCCGGTTGGTCCCTCCTACACTCTCTCTCTCTCTCTCTACCAGCTACAGTCGTGTAAGCCTCAGGTCTCCTCATAGCAAGCACCAAAAATGACTTTGATACCCTGGAAAATCTGTTGTATCGAGTATCATCGTCTTACAGTTGGGATACTGTATCTTATTAAGCCTGTTTGTTTAGCCTTGACGGGCAGAGCTGAAACAACTCTCTTCCAAAACTATCTAAATTGTGCCAATGGGGGCATCTAAGATATAAGCTACACTCTCTTCAAATTTCAAAGAAGACAACAAATATTTGTATTAATTCTTCCAATTATGAAAAGTAATCCTAATTGAAGAAATATAAAGCAAATAAATTGAAATAATTTATTGTGTTCTTCAAACAAAAATCAATAAATAATTATGAAAAATGACAATTTTAATTTTTACTCTCTCTCTCTCT